CTTTTTTCCTCTCTCTCTCTCTCTCTCTCTCTCTCTCTCTCTCTCTCTCTCTCTCCCTCTCTCTCCACAACCTTGCCACATGGCTCTGTCTGGCCTTGAACCCTCCCTGACTCAGCCCTGTGGGATTACAGGCACATGCCACCAAGTCCCATAGTGCCACTGTTGAGTAGGACAGTACTTACTTGAATATAAGCACTGCAATACCTCAGTGACGAATCTGAGGCTGGCTGGCAGGCTGGCTGGCTCAGTGAGAGAAAGGTGCTTGTGGCCAAGCCTGAAGATCTGAGTTCAATCCCTAGGTCTCATGGTAGAAGGAGAGAACTGATTCAAGCTAAATGTCATCTGATCTCCACAATTTGTGAGCGTGAGCCTGTACGTGTGCATGCAGTAGCATGTGTGTGTAGACACACACACACACACACACACACACACACACATACACACACAAAGCTAAGTAAAAAAGACACTAAAAGAATGATCAGGAGCTTATAATAAAAAATGTATTTTAACAGTTAAAACAAACTATTTTATGAAGTACTGTAAGAAGAATATGCAATATTACATAGAGTTATTGTATTTATTTCAAAGCATGAGAAGTGTCCAGGTATGTGTGAAAAAAAGTATTATAACAAAACTTTTTAATTTTAGTTTAAAATTTTCTTTAAATTTTCATGTACTAAAAACTTCTGCTGTAGGAGTCTCTCACTTCCTTGATTAGGTATATTCCTAGGTATCTTTTGGAAGCTATTGTAAGTGAGGTTTAGGGGAGTTCCCCTGGTTTTTTTTTTCTTGGCAAATTTGATATTGGCATACAGAAAAGCTCCTGGCTTTGTGTCTTGCCTCTGCTGAAGTGTTATTGGATATGAGCGTTTTAGGGTGGGCTTTAGTCTTTGAAGTACAGGACTGTGTCACCTGGAATAGGGCTGTTTTCACTTCTTCCTTCCCTGGTGGGTAGCTTTTGGTTCTTTCTCTTGTCTTACCGATCCAGCTGAAGACTCTGAACTCTATCAAATAGGAGTGAGGAGAATGAGCCCTCTAGCTTTGCTTCTCAAGTTGTTCCACCATTGAGAACAATACCCAGCTTCCCTCATGCTGAGGCATAGTCCTCCTTTTCCTTTATCCTGAAGGCACGGTGACACTTTGCTGATTCTGCATCAATTGAGACAGTCTTGTGGCTTTCCTTTACGTTTCTTTATTTTGTATGTGTGAGTACATGTAAGTGACACATGTATGTACCAGAGCATACGTGTAGAGGTTAAAAAACAGCTTAAAGGAGTTGGCTGGAATCTAACTCAGGCCATCAAGGCTTAGCAGCAAGTGCCTTGATCCACTTAGCCATCTTGTTGGCCCTGATTATGTGATTTCTGATCTGATTTATGTGCTGAATTGCATTGATGCTGATTGGTGTGTGTTGGACCAAACTTGTATCATCGGAATGAAACCAGTTGGTGTATAATCTTTTTGTTTGTTTGTTTGTTTGTTTGTTTGTTTGTTTTTGAGACAAGGTTTTTCCATGTAGTTTTGGTGCCTGTTCTAGAGCTTGCTCTGTAGACCAGGCTGGCCTCGAACTCACAGAGATCCGCCTGGCTCTGCCTCCTAAGTGCTGGGATTAAAGGTGTGTGCCAGCACCGCCCGGCGACTTCTTTCTGATTTTTATAAGTAAGCACTCTAGCTAGAAACTCTCCTGTGAGAACTGCTGTGGCTAAATCCCAAAGGTTTTGTTCTTTGGCTTTCACTGGATTCTAAGAACTTTTACATTTCTCCCTGATTTCTTCAATGATTTTCTTGTTATTTGACAGTGTATTTGTCCAGTTTTCATGAATTTGTATAATTTCTATAGCTCTTCTCTGTTGTGTAATATTATTTTAACTAGGTAAAGATGTGTTACATTTGTTTACGCTGAGTGATATTACTTTAACTGTGTAAAGGTGTGTTACATTTATTTATGCTGCATTTGTTTAACAATGTAAGGATGTGTGTTTAATTATGTAAAGATGTGTTGCATTTGTTTCACCTTGCCTGCCCAAGACACCTGATAGGTCTGATAAACCTGAACGGCCAATAGTTAGGGAGAAGAGGGATCGGGAGGCTGGCAGGCAGAGAGAATAAATAGGAGGAGAAATCTAGGAGAAATCTAGGCTCAAGAGAAGAAGAACGAGGGAGACACCCAGGGTCAGAGGCCAGGTGCCAGACATTGAGAAGCAGGGAAAGCAAGCTATACAGAAGTAAGAAAGGTAAAAAGCCCCGAGGCAAAGGGTAGATAAAGAGGAACAGGTTAATTTAAGTAAAAAGACCTAGCTAGAAATGAGCCTAAGCTAGATCTAGCATTCAAAACTAATAATAAGTCTCCATGTCATGATTTGGGAGCTGGTTTGTGACCCAAAAGAAAAAGTCTGGCACACTTCTCTATCAATTTCTGATTTTACTACACTATACTCTTATAATATGCAGGAGATTGTCTCCATTCTTTCCATTAGGAAAGCTTGGTTGGCTTGGTTGGGATGTAGTCTATTTTAGAGCCAGTCACCAGGACTGCTGAGAGTATGTATGCTGTATCCTTTAGATGTAATATTCTCTAGACATATGTAAAGG